GCAACATCTAATTCATTATGACGCTGACCAATCACCGCAGAGGAGACGCAGGTGGAGGCAAGGATGAGCAACGGGAGAGTGAGGGAAGGAGGGAAGGAGGGAAGGAGATGGAGAGGGAAGGGGGGGAGGAGGGTAGGAGGGAGGGAGGGAAGGAGGGAGGGAGATGGAGAGGGAGGGAGGGTAGGAGGGAAGGAGGGAAGAAGGATAGGAGGGAGGAAGGGAAGGGGGGAAGGGGGAGAGGGGAGGGAAGGTGGGAAGGAGGGAGGGAGATGGAGAGGGAAGGGGGAGAGGGGAGGGAAAAAGAGGGAGGGAGGGAAGGAGGAAGGGAGATGGAGAGGGAAAGGGGAGAGGGGAGGGAAGGTGGGAAGGAGTGAGGGAGATGGAGAGGGAAGGGGGAGAGGGGGATGGAGGAAGGGAAGGAGGGAGGAAGGGAAGGGGGGAAAGGGGGAAGGAGGGAGGGAGATGGAGAGGGAAGCGGGAGAGGGGAGGGAAGGGGTGATGGGAAGGAAGAAGAGGGAGGGAGGAAGGGAGATGGAAGGGTGATGGATGAGGGAGAGAGAGAGGAAGAATAAGGTGAGGAAGGAATAAGGGAGGGAGAGAGGGGGTATAGGGAGGGAAGGAGGGAGATGGAAGGATGAGGAGTCAGGAGGAAGATGGGAGGGAGACGGAGGGAAGGAAGGAGATGGAGGGAATAAGAAGAAGGATGGAGGAGGGAGGAAAGGAGAGAAACGAAGGAGAAAAGAAGAGAGAGAAAAACCGAGAAGGAAGGAAGAAAGATGAAGAGGAGAAAGGAAGATAGGAAGGACGGAAAAGAGAGAGGAGGGGGGGGGGAGAGAAAGGAAATTGTATGAAAGGAGATTTACTTGCGTGTATGTCTGGATGTGCGCGCGTGTGTATGTGCGCACGCGAGGCTATAAACTAATTTAGTGTATCTAATATAAAAATCTTCCTATATCATATATATATACATATTTTTCCACTGACATACATTTCTTTCATCGCTGGGCCCTTGTGCGTGTGCAGTTGTGCATGCCTTCCTATGCCTCTTTAAGCCTGAATCGTATATATATATATTTTTTTTTGTGCTTTTTTCCGGATAAAGATTAACAGGAAAAAAAAAACCTAAATGTTTCACCCTCTGCTAAGCAAGTCGGAAGCTTTCCAAATCGACATTAGTATCTTTCTTTTTCTTTTCTTTTTTACTTGTTTTTCTGTTTATAATAGATTATTTTACTTGTCTTTATGTTTATAATTGATTGCGTTTACTTGTCTTTATGTTTATATTTGAGCTTTTACTTGCTTTTATGTTTATATTTTTTTTAATTTGCATTTATGTTTATGATTGATTTTTTTTACTTGCCTTTATGTTTATATATATATATTTTTTTACTTACCTTTATGTTTATATTAGATTTTTTTACTTGTCTTTATGTTTATAATTGATTTTTTTTTTATTTCCCTTCATGTTTATAATCGATTGTGTTTGCGTTTGCTTGTTTATATTAATTTGCGTGTGTGTGTGGTGGTGGGGGGGGGGGGTGCGTGCGTGTGATGATGGTGATGGCGACGACGATGAAGATGATGATGATGATGATGATGATGACGATGAGGAGGAGGAAGGGGTGGAGGAGTGAGAGAAGGAGGCGGAGGAAGGCTATATTGTCAAGGAGGAGGATTAGAACACAAGAGAAAACAAGAGACGTCTGCGTAGAAAGAAAACGAGCACAAACGCAACAAAATGACTTTAAACAGTTTTCGCTTCTCTTCTTTTCCCTCTCTTCCTCCTTCCTACTCCCTTTCTCTTTCCCCCTCCCTCTTCTCTTTCTCTTTCCATTTCCTATCCCTCTTCCCTCTCTCCCTCTCCCTCCCACCGTTCTCTCCTTCCCTTCCTATTCCCTTTTTCTTCTCCCTCCCTTTTCTCCTCTTTCCATTTCCTATCCCCCTTCTCTTTTCCTCTCCCTCCCCCCTTCTCTCCTCCCCTTCTCTTTCCCCCCCTCTTCTTCTCCTTCTCTTTCCCCTTCCTATCCCCTTTCTCTCTCTCTCCCTCTCCCTATCCCCTTTCATTCTCTCTCTCCCTCTCTCTCCCACCGTTTTCTCCTCCCTTTCCTATTCCCTTTCTTCGTCTCCTTCTCTTCTCCCTCCCTATCCCCCTTCTCTCTCTCCCTCTCCCTCTCACCGTTCTCTCCTCCCCTTCCTATTTCCCCTTCTCTCTTCCCCCACCCTCTTCTCCCTCTCTTTCCCTCTTCCCTTCCCCGTCTTACACATTAAAAAAAGACCTCGCCCAGGAATATAAATCTTAACCCGAAGCCCATTTTCTTTTTTTTTCTTCTTCTTCTTCTTTTCACCTCCCCCTCCCCCCTCCCCCCACCCTCCCCCCATTCCTTTTTCCTTTTTCACTTCTGGAACAAAGACTCTTAGAGTGTTACAAACCAGTCACGTTTCTCATTAGCTCTCAATGGGGCTTGGGTGCCACCTGTAATCAACAGGTTGGGGCTGAGTTGGGATCGCTTTCCGTTCGGTATG